CAAATGGCTCCCCGACAAAGGGCAGAGTTCGGACAGTAGTACGTGCACCGACACAAGTGTTTGTGCGTGAATACCTGATACTGTATGTGTGCACGTATCTACAGAAAAAATTACATATATACTTAAACGTATACAGGAAGGAGGAATAAGGGGAGGCTTTTGTTCTTCTAAGTTAGCAAATTTAAAGAGCTGGAGTCAGAGGTCTAAGCCTCCTCATCTGAACCCGACCAGGGCTGAGAAACCACTGCAGCTCCTGGCTTGACCCCCCCACCACCACCACCACAAGGACCTGGGCCACAATTTAAAACGAGAGCGACAGAAAGATGAGAGCTAAGCCAATCAATAAATATGGAGAGCACATGCAACATTCACTCTGCGCTCCCGTCCAAACAGATGAAGAGAGGGTGGAGGTGCAGAGGGGCGTGGAGGGGGAGGTGGGGGGATTTACACTCCGGACAAAGTGGCGATCAGTGTACATGTTACAATTATAAAAATAAAAAGCCTCCTAAATCATGAGATGAAAGTAGAGTGCAAATGTGATGATTAAAATGGGGGCAAGAGTGCAAATGGCAATACCCACAAATACACTTGAAACGCTGCTATAAATGCCAGCTGTTCTGGCTCGCTGCTGATGGAAACTACTGAGAACTACCGGTCTCGTGGTCTATTAACTTTACAGCCCTGTGTGCATTTAGTGAGAGAGAAAAAAAACTGTTCGTAAAATTGCTGCTTTACCTGAATCAGGCTCTGTTGATGTGATCAGAGTGAAAACAACAAATAAAAGAAAAAGACCTTTGAATCCTTTTCATCATAGTGTGATACTAATTCAGCAATCCTCCTATAGGTGTTTTTTGTTTTTCTCAATGAATCATTATTATTTTAATTTTTTTTGTTTTTTTGCAGTTTAACTACTGAACACTTTGTGCTATTTCAGTAATTCATATGTTAAAAAGTTCAGCTCATAGGAGTAGAATGCTGTGACTTAGTTTTTGTAACTTTTCAAAATCTTTACAAATATTGWTCAAGACTGTTTTCTTTGAAATGCATTTCAATATTTGTGATCTATTATACTAATGTTTAGGTGAGGTTTTAGCTGCCATTTTCACTTTTAGCTGATGTTCTGCTGCTGTTTGTGCTCTGCTTTAGTTTTTAGCTCATGTTCTCCTGCCTTTTACTTGTAGCTTGTGTTCTGCCTCTTTAGCTTTTAGCTTGTGTTCTGCCTCTTTAGCTTTTAGCTTGTGTTCTGCCTCTTTAGATTTTAGCTTGTGTTCTGCCTCTTTAGATTTTAGCTTGTGTTCTGCCTCTAACTTTTAGCTTGTGTTCTGCTTCTTCTTGCTTTATGATTGTGTTCTCCTTTAGCTTTTAGTTTGTTTTGTTTATTTATGCTTTTAGCTAATATTTGCTTCTTTTAGCTGATGGCTAGTTGTCTTCTTTCTTGAGGTTGTTGCTCGTGTTCTAATTTTAGGCAGCATTCTGCTTCTTTTGGTTTTTAGCAAGTGGGTTTTTCATTTAGCTTGACTGTTGCTACTTTTAGCTAATCTTTTTTCTCCTTTTAGCTAGTGTTCTGCTTCTTTCGCTTTTAGCTATTTTTCTTCTGATTTTAGCTATTGTTCAGCTTCAGTGAGCTTTTAACCAGAGTTTTGATTTATTATTATTTTGGTTCAGGTGATGTTAGATTCTTTCAGTTTTCAGATTAGTTTCAACTTCTTCAGCACTAAGCCGTCACTTTGCATTTTCACAGAAATATTTCTTTTATTTAAATGAAAAGTTTTAGTTTATTTTCTTTTGGAATATAAAAAGGTCCGTGTTGAATTTAGAGACAGTGAATGATCAGTGAGCAACATGTCCTGCTCTACCAGTGGGAATCCTGTTGTATCGATGGAGTCCGTCTCAAAACAACCAACAGGCTGTATAAATAGAGCCGTGTCTAGGATCATAGATACAAAGTAAACAAAACACTGAGAGCCCACAAAGTGGGATATCCTGCTACTTAAGCAAGTCGTGGCACGAGTTAAGTACTCGGCCTACGGGGGTTTCTGACGTGACTGATGACCTTTTGATGTCCGTCTCTGCAGTATGTCCCATCACTCCTCACTGTATGTGATGTACTAATGTAGTAAAGCCCCAATAGACCGCAATCCAATTTATTTACTGTCCCCTCAGCACACTGGGTAACTTAAGAACATCCAGACAGCTTAAAAATGTTTTCATGTTTCTGCATTCGCAATTAGCAAATGCAGCTTAAAGTATTTTAGATACGGGCAGCTAAAACCAGTGTGCCATATAATATATGCCAGGATGCTTTCTCTCTTCATCAAGGGTATAATGTTCAGTTTTTCTTGTCTAACCAGAGTGATGATTTAATTGCATGGACATATTAAAGGCTCCAGTTAGTTATTTTGATCTATTCCACTCCATTTGTGTCAGAAAGCCAACTACAATAAAAAAAAACTCATTTACAAATAAATATCCTGGTGTTGGTAGYCTTTGTGCCCACTTGAAGGCAGCCTTAAAAATAAGAAACAAGGCGCAACATATAGATTTAAACTGACATAAAAACAAAAGAGTGGTATTTTTTTTATTTGGGGCTTCATCACACTCAGTGGAGCTGATTGTGAATCTATTGGTTTTTTTTTTTTTTTAAGAAAAAAACGTAGCCATAGTAAAGAGCTCVGATCAGAAAACTAAGACACTGAGGTATACACCGTGTATTAGTATTCTGTCAAAAAAATACCAAAGTGTAATTTCTACCCAGCCCTCAATCAGTCTGTTTTCTTTTTTAAGAATACATTATTTAATTAAGGTTCAGCGTGTAGGATGCAGGAATATCCAACTCAAACTGTAAATTACAATCAACTAAGCGTTTTCCACTCCATCTAAAACTCCAGTGGGCACAAGTGTAACCAAACTGTAGTTACACAGCAGCGTCTTTTTTTTT